GTTAAAAGCTTGATCTAAACTAGCTAATTTCCACATCTCTGCTCTCTCCTTTTTTTTCTTTTTTTTTTTCGCATCTCTGAATTGAGCAAATGTAATGAATTCAGGATCTCTCATCAGAGGATTGCAGCTAATGTTCACATTATTGCCACCAGTGAAGTAACAGAGTGTTGTTTCTTTTCCCCCACAACAAGGAGAAAATGCATGTTTTGTTCACTAATTGGAGCATAAAATCATAACGGCTAATAACAGAAACCAAATTAATGAGAGGGTGAAGTAATGCAGGAAAAGAGATGCAGCAGTTCATTTCTCTTTATTTATTCTGGGAACTTGGAAGAGCTGAGATTTTGCAAAGCCGCACCTCTAAAAGCATGCATCCTAAAACCCTGGCAGGTTATAATAATCACAGGAACAATCTGTGCAAATCACAAGCACGGCTCGCCAAGGTGTAAGGTGTTTGCGCTGCGACGTGAAACTTAGGACACGGAGGCGAGGATGTTGAGGAGCGCTATCTTGTATCAAAATCTTAATTTGAGTGCTTGTGGGCGAGATTGGAAGAGGTTCATACAGCTGCAGAGTTTAGATGAGCGGACACAGCTGCTATCTGAAAACGTGAATGAAGTTAAACTTGGACACTGTGGTCAGTAATCTGGTGGCTGTATTGCTCAAGTGGCAGCCACTGAAGATGAGGATCGCGGTTTCTGTTTTGCCCGAGGTGGTGACTCTTCACCTGCCAGGCGAGCTGCGGGGATGTGTGCGCGCGGCGAAATGGTGTGGCAGCGGCGCTTCGGGGCAAGGCTCACAGTGTTGAGATGAGCGATAACATGCATTTTAGTGCCCGTTATCGGTGAGCGAGAGCCAGGGAGATGGCAGGATTTCTGTTTGTAATTACACTCCTGAAATCACAAAAGGCAGAACGCGGCTGCAGCCTTTAACGGACGAGTTCAAAGCATTCCTCTTAAAGCGTCTGGTTCTGCCTCCTTTTCGCCTCACGACGGCGGGAAAGACAAGTATAGGTGCGATGCAAAGAATTTTCTGCACCAGGAATCTTCCAGTAAATGATTAGATGAATAATTATATCATTCGTTTGTTGTTCTTTAAAAAGGCAGCTTAAAACTCATGTGTTCAGACAGACACTGTGTTGTTTTTCTTCATTCATGTGTGTCCACTTTGCCTTTGGCGTGGGCTGGATTTGATTAAATTACCTCTGTAAAGCAATTTGTGACCATTCCTTGTCTCAAAAAGCGCTATAAAAATGAACTTTACTCATTTACTTACCGACTTGTGAGTTCCGGTATATCAGACATGATTATTCTTAAGTTTTAGACCCCGCTTTGCTTTTAGAGCTGCATAAATTCTTTGTGGCAACGATTCAGCGAGGTTCTGGAAACATTCCTCTGAGATTTTGGTCCTCACTGGCATGAAGGAATCGTGCAGCTCATGAAGCCGTTTTTCTTTTTTTCTTTTTTCTCCTTTTGCCCGTTCCCCCACATCTCAAGGGTGCTCGATTGGATTGAGATGTGGAGACTGTGGAGTATACTGAGGATACCACTGAGCCCATTCTCCTGCTCAAAATAGCCATTTGAAGATGGGTACACTGTCATTATAAAGGGATGGGCATGGTCACAAACAGCATGAGGTTCAAAGTTTACCATAAAAAAAACACATCTGCAATACAATTACACCACCAACCTGAATCGTCGATATAAAAGCAGGATGGATCCGTGCTTTCGTTTTGTTTATGCCAAATCCTGACCCGTCCGTCTGAGTGCTGCACCACAAATCGAGATTCATCGCGACCAGGCAACGTTTTGTCCCAATTTTTAGTGAACCCGTGCCACTCAATTTCCTGTTCCGAGATGACAGGAGCGGCACCCGGTGTGGTCGTCTTCTGCTGTGGGCCATCTGCTTCCATATTCTTTGTGCTGTGTTCGGCGATGCTCATCTGCATATTGGTGGTTATTTGAGTTGCTGCCACGTTTCTGTAAGCTCAAACCACTCTGGCTGTTTGTCTCTGGCCTCTCCAGTCAACAAAGCATTTTCGCCCAGAGAACTGCCACTCACCGGACACCCACGCCCCCCCCCCCCCCACCATTCTCTATAAACCCTGGAGATGGCTGCATATGAAAATCTCAGTAGATCAGCAGTTTGTCAAACCAGCCTGTCTGGCACCAACGGCCATGCCACTTTCAAAGTCACCTAAATCACCTTTCCTCCTCATTCTGATATTTGGTTTTAACTTCGTAGGAGTCTCCTGACCAGTGCCTGACTCAGTCCACTGAGGTTGTATATAGGTACATACAGGAACGAATTTCTTTGAAGTGTGATGGGCGGCATTTTCCTTTTAATAACAAAGCATTTCAAGGACGATGCTTCTGACTGATAAAATGTCTTAAAAAAGTAGTCCAGGAAGAAATCATTAGATTGATGTTTATAGTAAATGTACACAAATCTATGTTCTGTATTTAGAGTTAGGATTTATCCAATAGAAAAAATACTTAAGTTGTTAAGTTTAACAAATTCCAGCTTTATTTGCTTAAGTTTGTCTGCTTGGTACACGGCAGAGTTTCTCTCTCACTGCTCGCTGGGAGCAGCTCAGCTGAAGCTGTTCTCGTGTCACGATATCGATGTGATCCGTGTCGACCGCGCGCATCCCCCGGTTTGTTACTGAGTCGAGGGGCCGGACTACAGTGTCACAGGTGTGACGCTGAGAAAGGTCAAAAGCTGGGAGACAGATGGCATGCTCGCAAACGCACACACAAACACACACACACGCACACATACGTACATACTCACCCTCCCACACACTTATAACACTCCCAAAGGGACAGTGATCTATTGTGCAGCTCAGATGGGCATCGCTGCAGCCTGTCACTCACACACACACACACACACACACACTTGAAGTGAGTATAGCCAAGCAGATGTCAGGTAGGCTCAACTGAGTCTATTTAGAAGTGATATAATGCTGACAGGGGGGGCGACATTGTAACTTCTTTTACTAATTAATTATTGTATTACTGTCTTTGCGAGTCTGTCTTACATTAGTACTATTCCTAATAAAGCAATGATGATGATGATTGTAGTAATTAGTTGTTACAGTCAAATGAGAAGAACAAAGAGGTTAGAAAGACACAGCAAAGGAGAATAGGCTGAACAAAAAAGGCTACACAATGGGTGCTACTCCGGGTTTCTAGATTTTGTCATCATTTGTATCTATTGTGATTTACAAATGTATAATTTAGTTTTTATGATTTTGTTTTCTGGTGCCGGTATCAGGTTATTTAGTTCTCATTTTCTGGTACATTTTAATGTCATATGTATCAGGTGTGGTGAAAAAAATATTGAGAGTTGGTAGAGTTTTTTGTTTTTTTAAATCAGGGCTAACATGCTAACGTGGCTCACGCCAGATTAATGATGATGGTCAACTGGATTTTGGCAATCAGTGTGATCTCTGCAACCACTTGAATGCATTACCACAATAGTTTTGTACATTCTTGGTCCCCAGTAGATGAATCTTACCACTAAAAATTTGATTTCATTCGGTTTGATTTGTATAGCGCCAAATCACAGCAACAGTTGCCTCAATGCACTTTATATTGGAGGAGAGCCTACAATAATACAGAAAAACCATTAGGCAACAAACTATGAGCAAGCACATGGCGACAGTGGGAAGGAAAAACTCCCTTTTAGCAGGAAGATGCATATAGTGAATACTTTATACCTGCTAAATGTCGGTATGTTAAGTTTGTTGCTTTTAACTGTTTTTACACTTTCTCTGCAGCCCTTAGCATTTCTCACATCACCTGACAAAGGTGTTATGGCAGTGAACAAATCTCCAGTGCAATCACTTTGGATGTCAGCTCATCTACCAGCATGTGAGAGGTCAGATTGTACCGGTTGACAAATCGCTCCGCTAAACGTCCACTGCGTTCACAGCTACAGTAAGTGAGGGGGTGTCGCTTACTGCCTTCTGCATGTCTCATCCAGGCAATCTGTTTCTGGTAGTGTGACCACGTCGTAAGTAGACCGTTTCATGCTTTGCGGTACTTTGCGTGAAAAAGGACAAACTCAGACAATGTCCTGATTTATTTATTTATTTTCTTAAAGCGTGCTGACATTAGCATTTAAAGCATCCCTCTCTGAACCAGAAAACCATCGTAGTGTTTTTATAGTCTTTAATAAAATGACCAAACACTGCAGTTATTGGAATTAGAAATCTGGTGAAGTTTGAGTAATCCTTTGCAGCTATGGATCGGGCCTCGTCTCTTGAATCTGTCATCACCTTTTATCTTCAAATCCCCCAGCCCGGCCCCGTCCTCTCCCATCCTTGCTGCCTCTCTGTTACCATTTAGGGTATCCATACCCCACTGCCAGCAGTAAGGAATGTGTGTGCGCGCGTGTGTGTTTTGTGTTAATGCCTCTGCCATGTTTATGTGTCTCTACCATGTGTTTATGGACGCCTGTGTTGTTCTCCTACAAGCTCGAATTTTGGCATCTTACACATGCATCTTCTTGGGGGTGGGGGGGGATAATATGTACGAAGTACTTGGGCCGGCTTCCTTGCAAACAGTTGGTCTTTGTGTGAGCGTTTAGGTGTGTGGGTGTTTGCGTGTCAAAGGTGGTTTGTGTGCAGAGGCGTTTGTAAGTGTGCGTGCAGGCATTAGACACTCATCATTGTGCAACACACTGAGCATGGAGGCATCTGACCCTCAATAATAGATGTGGCAGCAGTGAATATTTAATGGTTGGGGGGTGGGGTGGGGGTGGGGGTGGGGGGTTAGATACATGTACACACACACACACACACACACACACACACACACACACAGGAAAATGGAAATATAATATCCATGCCTGTATGACTTTTAGACTGACGCTCTTGGGGAAGTGGTCTCTGTGTGGTCGGGTGATGCTCTTAGTAAAAGATACCGTGGTATTTCGCCAGCCGACCACTTTAGTTCTCACTCCCACCTCACTTTTCTCTCTTTTTCTTCCAACAGGGTTCTCAGGATAGTGCTGGCGGTCAGGAGGGACTCGTCCCCCCACCTTTCTCTGCCTTCCCGCCTCCTCCACCACCGCCCCCCCAGAACGGCCTGGCCCTGGATTACGGGGGCAGCCTGTATGCTGCAGGGGCCGTCCAGGGTCCCGTGGAAGCCGGCGGAGCAGCGAATAGCGCAGCCAACGCCGCTAACAGCCTCAGTGCCCAAGTGAGTACCGGCCTCCTTCCTCTGTGGGCAGCCCACACCCAGGCTGTGCCTTGAGAGGGCGCTTAGTGAGTGGGATACACGTTACAGACTGAAATGAGGATATTATAAAAGCACATTACTAATTGTGACCACAATTCAAGTTTTTCTTTTCAACTGAGCTGTAACATTTTCACATGTTGTTTTGTTTTTATCTCGCTCGGATTAAAACGTATAAACCTCTCTGTGTTACGATCGTTCCTCCAAACACAAAAATAATTCCACCTGTCATAACCGATTCTGTGGCCACTTCGCTGTCGCAGAAACATACACTGAGAGAGTGTGTGAAGGCTGCCTTTTTCTGTCTGTCATCAAGTTTATGTAAAAACTACCAAACCGTATTTTATGAAACTGTGGAAAGGTGGAGCGCGGGCAAAGAAAGAACCCATTAAATGTTTTGGAGGCAAGAGTGGGAGAGTTCTGGATCAGTTTCTTTGAAATTGCAAAACAGGTCATTTGCCATGGTTTGGTATTCACTCTCTAAGTGCTTTCTATCATTATGATAGGAAAACAGCTTCTTTTTTTTAACTCATCCAGCAGTTAGGGTGGAATAGCTACATTTATTTGGAGGGTTTTTGTTTTTTTTTCTTCTCTGGTCGACTTGCAAATTACAGCCCAATCTTCACTCTTCTTTTTGCTTTGTTTGTCTTTGAGCACTTTGACATGCAAAAGCCCACACAGCTAAACGCTCACACAAAGAACGACTGTTGGTAACATTGCCTACCCAACTTTTTAAAAAATGACAGAAGTGTGAAAACACAATTTGCTTAAAGCAGGAATTTGACATGGGTGGTACTGCTGATGGCCGCCACTTATATAATGTTATATGCAATGTTTTGTCACCACAGTTAATTTTTATCCAGTTTTTTCTTCAGGTGGAAAAAAGGTGAAAAATTCAGGTTTCATTTTTTTCAGATGGTGGTATTTAAACATCATCAACAATAAATCCTTATAAATATTGAAATTGGACAGCTGAGAGAAACTACATGTTTAGATTGGACTGTGTGTCTAATTTTGCAAATCCAGAGAATGACAGTACTGTGCAAAAGTCTTGACCCACACCTCATTTCTTTATATATAGATTTTCTGAAGGTCTTTTGAAGTTTTTCTTTGGACATTGGCTGCTTTTCTACTCACTCCAGTCCCTAAAGTTTCTCATTTTTAGAGTAATGTTTGCTTTTTCCCCCCTTGTCGTTGTTTGTTAAGCAACATAACACTGACTTATGAATAATTCAAGCAAAAGAAAAAAATCCTTAGTCAAGATATGAAGCGGTGTTGTGTCTCCACACAGCAGACAACTGAGCAAAGAGCCAATTTTAGATGATATCTTTGGCACTTCTGGCACCGTTACTAGCAGTGTGTCACAAAGACCCGTAATTTTTCCCCCATTTCTTTAGTTGAATCTGTGAAAAATGCCAGCGATAACACAATTTGAAATTGAAATTTTATTTTTGCACCAACAAGGTGATTATCAAAGAGCTATTAGCAGAAAACTTGGCATATCTCAGCAGGGTGTGCAGCGTGTCCTTAAAATGCTGAGGAAACTGGCCAAATGGAGGAGAAAAGAAGTGGCAGGGATAAAGAAAACTACCTACACCAGATAAACAGAAAGTCATGTCCTTAAGAAATAAGAAGAAATCCAGTAAAGATCTCACAGACAACACAAATACTTGTTGCCACAAATTTTATGCAGCGATGAATCCAAATTTGACATTTTTTGGTACAAATTGTTGTCAGTTTGTAGAGAGGAGGTCAGGATGGAGGTGCAGCAGTGAGTGTCTACAGCCATCTGCAAAACACGCTGCAATTGTACAAATTCTCTTTTTGCCTTATATACTATATTGTGCATGTATCTTTGCACGTGTTTCAATAAATCACTGCAAACCTTTTCAAATTTTTCAAGCAAAATATAAAGAAATGAAAGGTGGCTCAAGACCTTTGGACTGTGCCATAAGTATTTTTTAAATCAAATACTACAGCGTCACATGAAATAAAATTTACAGTGAATAAAAACAGTCATGGTTTTCATTCGTTGTACACTGCTGCTTATAACCAGAGGCAATACAAATATGTTGAGGTTAAATCATTTATTTATTATGTTCTGTCGGTTGTTTGAGTCAATTCACAGATTTTTGCAACGGTTTTAATTTTCCCTTTAATAATTTTGGACTCTGTTCAAGCAACACGCCAAAAAATGGGAAAAATACTGTCTTTGTGTTCTTCTCACAGGGAAAAAGCACAAAATATCGATTATGAAACATAATCGATATTTTGTGCTTTTTCCCTGTTTCTAGGCAAAGCGAGTACTTGGACATTTTTCCTGTTCAATCCATAATTTGTGCAAGCTGATTAATGAACTAATCAGCACAATAATCAGCTGATTAATGGAAGCAGCGAGCAGCGCCTACTGCAGTGCAAATCTGACAGATGACAGTCTGTCAGCTAATGGTGCATTGCGTATCGTCTTTTCGCAACCCTAACAAGACCTCTTTGTTTTCGTCTGTCTGTCTCTGTTTGTCTTTTTGCATCCTTGTGTCTAAGCAGTCAGATGGGTCCTCCCAGATTGACGGCCAGTCTGGGGTTGGCTCGGGAGGTGGAGGCGGCGGGGGGAACGCCGGAGACGATTCGGACTCCAAGGCCACCCCCAAACGCCTTCACGTATCTAACATCCCCTTCCGCTTCCGAGACCCTGACCTACGGCAGATGTTTGGGGTAAGCGGACCAGAACGTTGCCTTTTTTCCCCTCCACTGTGTATCGTTACATAACAGAGTAAAATCCCCTCTAAACTAAACCCCCCTCATCTAGTGACTGCAGCCCTTTGCTATCTTCTAGTGACGCTTATATAAAAACAAGGGTTTGCCATGCTGTTTTTTTGCTGAGCAGAATCCATTGTCTTATTTGATTATTTAGATTTTCAGCTCTCCAGCAGCTTATCTAAAGTGAAGTGTAATAATCTGGCCTGGTTCCCTCCAGTTTTGCAAGAGGAACGGCTCTAAAATGCAGTGCAGAGAAAAGAACAGAGGAAAGGAAGATATGGTAGAAGACCTAGCAGCCAGTGTAGGCTCAGTGCCAGCTCATCGTGGTTGAACAGTGCTGACACCCCGTGGCGAGAAGCAGTGTGTGTGACTTACATGCTCGCTCAGCTTCTTCATTTTCCTTCTCTTTTTTTAATTAATTAATTCATTATTTTCCTGTTTCTTGTTTCAGCAATTTGGCAAAATCCTTGATGTGGAGATCATTTTTAACGAGAGGGGATCGAAGGTAGGACACTGAGGAAAAAGAAAACATGTCAGGCATTTCAAAATGCAGCAAAAGAAAAAGAAAAAAAAGAAGCTTAACTGCAATCTCCTTCTCCTCCTCCTCCTCCTGCGTCTCCTTGTCGTTTCTTTACCCTCCTTTGCTTGCAGGGCTTCGGTTTTGTTACGTTTGAGTCGAGCGCAGATGCAGAGAGGGCCAGAGAGAAGCTCCACGGCACGCTGGTGGAAGGACGTAAAATCGAGGTAACGGCACGCTCGCCTCTTTTTCCTATTTTAATTTTTTTTTTCAACAGTGACCATTTTCTCCTCTGTGTCCCCTCCATGTCCAACTGTGACCTTAATTCTTCTGGCCCAGAGAAGGTTTCCGGATGGCTGTTGTTTAAACCCCCGCCCCCCCACCCACCCCCTCCTCCCTTCGGCTTCACTATAGCATGGTGCAGTGGTGCCGCACGCAAAGGCGTCTCTTTCGAAGCCACTTCCTGTTGATGTTCGTGCTGTTAATGCTGTTCTCGTTCTTCTCGATATCGTGCGCTGTCCCATTGCACCTTGATCCTTAAAAGTCGTGTGGTTTGCAAAGCATGCTGGGTGGAGTGGCTACACAACAGGCATGGCTGGTGAGAAGTCACTACGACACGATTGCTGATGATATCTGCTTACGTCACAGCATGGATGATTTTTTTTCCTTCTTTTTTAATTACTATTATTTTTGTTTAATCTGTCTTCCTGCACCTTTTCCATCATCCTCATCATCATCGTCACTTCTTCCATGATCATGACGAGTGGCCATTCTTGATTTATGGTTGTGTTTATGACTGGATGAGCAGTTAAAAGCCTCTCAGTTATTTTCCTCTTGGGTGGGGGGGGGGAGAAAAGTGCTTGCTGCTGGTGTAAGAGGCTACTGTATGTTGCATGGATGGAGCACTGGCTCAGATGTTGTCAAGGATTTTTCACTCTTTTCACTTGAAATTGCGCGGCTGCCACTGAGTCGTAGTTTTTTACGTTTGGTGTGTTTACGAGATTGATGCATGATGGGCGTTGGGGTGGGGCATTTTCAGGGGGGCAGTTTTGGGAATAAGGCTGCTGTGAGAAGTGTGGTGTCATTTCTGATGCTTTTGTAAAAAAAAAAAGCCAACAAAAAATAACAAAAAACACCCTTTAATCTCAGATGTGCAAGATGAACGGTTAAAAATAAAAAGAGACGTGTTGTTTTACACACACACACACACACACACACACACACACACACACACACACACACACACACACACACACACACACACACTAGATCTCATGGAAGTGCTTTTTCTTGTGACTTATTTTTCCTTTTTTTTCCTTTAATTTGTCAGCATGAGCTCGGATTTCAGTTGCAAATGGCCTGGGAGATCAAATACACCGTGCTTTCGCCATTTGCTCTGGCTCTTTTGATTTTAAAATCACGCTTTTGATTTTTTTTTTCTTTTTTAAAAAATTATTTCTACTTGCTACTAAAGCTCTTCTGCATGGTCCTGAATGTCCTGCTCTCTTCTCTGTCTCTTGTGTGTGGGTGTGGAGAATGTTTCAAAAAATGAATAAATAAAAAATATGGAGGGTGGAGACAGAACAAACAAGTGAAGAGAATAGTCATCCCCTCTCCTGTCCTTTTATTTCATTGGTCCTCCATCTTTCTCCACTCTATTTCCCCCCCCACCCGGCCAGTCAAGTCTGTCTTTCCCACTCCGTGTCCCATATGCATCTTCATCTCTTCTGTCCATTCCTACCTAAATTTCTCCGTCCATTTCCCCCTTCCTGGGATGTAGTCAGGTAGCACAAACTCCAGAGAGTGGGAATCAGTTAGACTTTGAGTGATAACTTTGTCAGTTATTTGAATATAACCTGGACAATACTATAACGTGTAGTTTCCTTCCCCAAGTTATATTTTAATTTCTGACGTTTTCTGTTTCCGTTCTGTTTCTGTCATTTGTTCGCAGAGGGTTTTTTGTTGTTGTTGTTTTTTTAAATTGTTTTTTTAGAGGCTAGATTGTTGTGATGTGGCTGATTCTTGTAGGTGACTGTTGACACGTGACCTGTTACATCACTTCCTCTCTACCACAGGGTGGGGGTTGCTTTTCATTACCTCGTTTTGTTTATGTTTACTTTTTTTTTTTTTTTTGGTTTTTTTGGTTCATCATTTCTTTCTTACATATATTTTCTCTATTTCCCTGATGATTTTTGTATGTTGTTGTTGTTGTCAGTCTCCACGGTAACTGCTCGCGTGTCCTCACGCCGTTTCCCTGCCAACGGTAAGTTGTGTACACATGGCATCATCTTTGAATGACCCCTCCCCCCAACCCCATCCGTCCAAATGAAATTAAAAAGAATAAATAACGATGCACCCAACACCCAAATGAAGGACTCCTCTTACTTAAGGGAGGCTTGATTGGTCAATTGACAGAACCTGATTGGCTAATCCTGTGATTGATTTGGGGAGGTGGTGAATGAAACGATTTACGTGATTAGCCATTGACCGCATGGCATTACAAAAAGGCCACTTGTGTAACTGAATGTACTGCATCTATCTGCAAGTGCAACAACTATGACTACCACTTCTTATGCGTTCATTCCAATCACCTCTCTAACTGCATTCAGCATTTAATTCCAGAGCTGTATCCTGCATGGTTTACTCTCTTTCTCGTCATCTGTATGACGTCATATAGTACTATGTCATCTCTCTGTGTCATGTGTCAGCTGATAGCTGCATTTTCTGCACCTTAGTGGGACAGCATGCTAAAGCATGTGTGCAATGTTAGCTTAACTGGAGAGGGGATAATAGTAGTCTGTATATCATGGCGTGCTGTAGTGCTTGACTACAACCTTCTGCACCAATTTGCGGACTGCAGACAGTTGCAGAGATACGGCTGTGCAGACGTGACATTTCCTCTTAAAGCTGTACCTGTGGATGAATAGTGTGTTGCCCTAAAGGGGATGCAAGCATATCGTAAAGCAATTTTACTAAATGTGGTAATTTGAGAAAAAAAAAATACAAAAGATTTTAAAAAAGCTGTCATGAAATAATTAGTAGAATCTTTTTTAAATCAGCGACAGCTTTTCTTTGTTCTGATTTCTGTTAAGCGGTTTCCTTGTTTTCGATAAGTTTGGTTCTGGATGGTGTGTGTTGGTGGTTGTGTGCTTCGAGGTGTTTCTGGCGTGTGACACTGATCTGAAATGCCTGGCAGTGTTTCACAGCCGTGGTTTCTGTTCGATTTTTTTCATTTGATTTTTATTTTTTGATTTGAGGAATGATATTTGCATCCCCCATCCTCTCTGTCTTTTATCTAGACTTTTTCTCTTTCTGTACTCGTTCTTGCTCCATCCATCATTTCTCCATCACTGCTCACGTACAGTTAGATCCAATGTAGGCAAACGGTCAGATGAATGTTGTACGAGTGTATTGCATCTTATTGTTCGTTTGTTTGAAGAACTGCACATTTGGATGGACTGTTCACTCGCTGTCTCTCTTCTCCACGTCATGTGTGTGTTTTTTCTGTGTGTTTTCATGTGGACTGGCTCCTCCTTCTGCATCCCTTTTATATTTCTGTCCTTTCTCTGTTGTTCTCTCTCCCTCCTCTTCCTCCTTTTTTCTGTATGATGTGTATTTGATTGGGAGGGCTGCCGACCTTATTTGATTGGTCTCTTGCTGCATCTGATGCTTGCTGACTGGCTAGTTTTGCTCACCTCTGGTGATGTGATGCGCTCTTGATTGGCCGTGTGTAATTTGTGTATGAACTCTTCGATTGATGTTTTTTGCATTGTGTTCAACTGATGAATTTGCCGCTTAATTCACCTTCTTTTTCCCTCCTTTTTTTTAAGGTAGCAAAATAATGGTCTTGGATTTCTTTTTGAATGCCTTTGATCTCAGATATTTTGTTGTTTTCTTTGTTCTGTGTGCCAATGGTTGCATTGTTTGCGTGCAAAACTGCCTGACTACTCACCAGGATCCTTGTTTTCAATGTCTTTCTCCTTCAAAAGAAGCGCATGCAACAAATACCATCGCTGCTCATCAACAGAATTAACCCCTGTCATAAGTACAAAACTGTGAAAAGTAAAACGACACCTCACTGAATATGAAAGCTCCAGTAATCATATGAAGTGTCACAGACAAAACTCAGCGTAACCTGACCTGTGATTGGACTGTGCTTGTGTCAACCATTAAAAGTGAATGAAATGAGCCTCTGATCACTTTCTTTGGTGTCCAGGTTAATAACGCCACAGCCAGAGTGATGACAAACAAGAAGATGACCACGCCGTACTCGAACGGAGAGGGCCTTGCGGCACTGCCATATGGTAATGCATTTTGCACGGTTGGACCAGAGAGAGGGGGCAGAAATTATTGTCACTAAATTAAAGCGGCAGACACTACCCCCACCCCCTCCCCAAAGAAACAAACAACATGCAAGAATGAGTAAATGTCGTGTGAACCCTGGCTGCCCGTCGCTTCTGTGACACGTTTCTGTTTACATGTTGTTGTCAATTTTCTTTATTATAGCTGGATGGAAGCTGAGTCCTATGGTTGGAGGCATTTACAGTCCTGAGCTCTATACAGGTAAGAAAGCCTTCCTTTATTCTTACCTGACTGATACCCAGCAAACATTGCTTGCATGTCTCCCAAAACTGATCACAATAAGAGGTCAGGCCAAACTTTTCTGATTTTTACAAAGTGCAAAACACGGTTCAGATAATTTATTTATTTATTCTTAACAATGACAGCTAATTTAGCTAGCACATTGTTGTGTGAATGTCACCTCAACATCTAATGACATCTTTTTTTAAATAGTTAAATAGATAAACACCCAAATTACATTTCACTTGTTACCGGAAGAACTTGATGCATCACACGCTTACACTTCTCCCCTCGCTGTCTGCGATGTCAGCATCTTAAACTCAGGAAGGAGTGCTACTACTGACACGTGAAATCAATTAGCTCAGTGGGAGAAGTGGTGGACCCGAAAGTGTGAGATTGTGAGTTTGAGTCACTGTTGAGGTGTTTTGTTTTTTCTTTCCCATTCTCTCTCCTTTTTCATTGAGAAACATGTTTTCATGTAGATTTTTTTTTTTTTTTAATCTCATCTGGGAATAAAATTCCTTGAAAAGGAGCACGATGCAAAACAAAATTCTCAAAACTCTTACAAGGATGTCCAGGTAACGTTGAGGTGACCTCAAACTGGCGTTATGGTAACTTCTGCGATGTCAGTTGAATTTTTTTCCCGGGGGACTATTATTCAGTCGTGACTAGACATCTAGAAAATACCGCCAGCCCGAGAGTTAGTCTACATCGAAAAGTTTGCTGTGTATTGAAGAAAAAAGAAATGCAAGGATTACTCAGCGTGCTGTTCCAGTATTTTACAGCTGTTTGACATTTATGCTTAAAAATGAAGGTGCAATACTTTCTGTGTGTTAGATAGATTTATAATAGATGTTGATAGGTCATCTTTAGTTTTTAGTTGAATTTGAATACATCAGTTGAACTCTGGGGAGTTATAGCAAGCATTTGCTGCTTTTTATTGATTTGTAGGACAAATGATTGTGATTTCAGTCAATCTAAATGTTTAATCGACATCAGTAAAAATAAACCGTGTTTTAATTCTGTCTCTCTTGCTCTCAGTACCAGGGTTTCCGTACCCAGCAGCAGCAGCAGCAGCAGCTGCCTCGACCGCTGCAACCTTTCGAGGCGCTCACCTCCGAGGTCGTGCTCGGCCAGTCTACAGCGCAGTCAGGGCCGCTGTCCCACAGCCTGCCATCCCCACCTATCCTGGGTAAATACACTCAAAAATAACAACACCGCTAATAGTGACGATGATGTCACAGATCGGATCAATCGTCTTCTTAGAAGCATGGCTGCACTTTTTATATAAAAAAATAAAAAATAATGCATGCTGTGTGTTTGAATATAATTTTTTATTGAGAGTTGACATTGATGGTTGGCTGAGCTGAAATACCATTTCCTTGTAAGTCCAAAATGGTAATGATAGCTACATTGAGTAGTTTTTTCAATGTTTAATAAGCAGCCGAAGAAACAGTAGTATCACTTTGAGGCATTTGCATACAAAGAGGTGGTATTTTTGTCCTGCATGTTGCACGGTGTGTAATAATCTCACCCTTCTTTCTCTCTTCTCTCTCTCACAATCTGTTTGGCACCGTTTTCCCATCTTTCCCCCCTCAATCGTCACTCTTCTTTGTTGTTTTCTGCACTGCCCACATGGTGGCGCATCACACCATTTTTTTGCCCTTTTGTTTCGTTTTGTTTGTTTTGACTTCCCACCACCGCTCCTTTTTCTACTCTCTATCTGTCCTCCCCCCTTTCTCCTGTATTATCTGTTTCTCTCTCAGTGTGATGGCCTATCAGGATGGTTTTTACGGTGCAGCTGATCTCTATGTAAGTACGCCTGCCTCTCCTCCACTGCCTCCCTCGTCACCTACCTTTCCCCTCCCCCTTGTTGCCTTGTGGGTTTTCAAGTGTGAAATGGCACGGATCAAACCCGTAGAGACGTGTACTTTTGAGTGTTTTGACTCATCACCGCTTGACATTTTACTGAAACTTAAACGAGGCCTTTGATTGAAATCAAAATTTGCACAGTCTCACATTCAACGCGCCAGCGCTCGCTTAGCTGTCCAGCACAACACGGCAAAACCGTGCACTCATTCGTGAGTAGACTCCTCTAGGGTTTGTCTCTGTGCATTTGTGAGTTAGTTTGTACCAATGTGATTACGAGTGTGTGCCTGTGTGTAATGGTGTGTGTGCGCGCGTGTGTGACCAGGTTGACAATAGATGTTTCTGTTCTCTCTGTAGACTAGTGTTTCAGGACATTAGTGGCAGATTGCCCCAGGTAGGGTTTTACACACTCTGTGTGAGAGCCAGTGTGCATCCTCCTCGTCTCCAATGACTGCGTGCTGCTAGACATTATTGACCATCTGAGATTGAAATGCCTTCTCTGTCTTCTTCTACTAACTCACTGGATTCTGACATGGGCGGAGTTGCGGAAGGGGGAGGAAAGAATGCAAAACACATTAGGAAAAAACAAAACCAAACGGCGGCTGGTCTGATATGTTTTTCTGTAAATTAAGTGCAGTATCCAACGGAAGTAGTGGAAAAGGGATCGAGGGATATACGTTTGGTCAGAGCTTGAAAAACTCGATTGAATCTGATCTATGCTGACACTTCAGCTTTCCATTAGTGTGCACACACACGCAGTGTTAAACACATTCATTAGACCACCACCAAATGTTTGGTTTATACCACAAGTGCCCTGAATTAACAGGATTTGTAATTAGCAAAATCATTTTTTATGTTTCTGTAATGGTTAATCTGCCAGTATGCACAAGCTCTTTAATTAAAATGATACTTTTAATGCTAATTATTGTTGTAACTAATGAATTAAAAATGCACTGTTTGACAGTAAAAGCAGAATAAAATAGTAAAGCTTTTTTTTTTTTTTATTAAGAGGCTAAATTACAGGTATTTACTTGCATCCCTGAGCAGAAAAACATAGTTTTAGTGGTTTTAATGTTAAGCTTGATTAATTTCTGACCTCTTAGGATGCTCGGCTCCACTTTGGGTGTAAAAATATGAAATCGGTCTATTTGTCTAATAAACATAATCCTTAGTCTTTGAACAAGACTCATTTGTGTTTTCTTGTATTTATGACAGGTGGTCTAATAAATTTGTTAAGCCCTGTAGACCCGAACATGATCTTTTTGCTTCTTGTTGATGGAACAAACAAATGTTAGGCTTCATGTTTTAATCATTGCGTTTTGTTTTCTTTATTTATTTTGTGAGAAACTCCCTGAAAATTGGGGTTGAATCGCCGTTGTCATTTTTGAGCCCGAACGCTTGTTCATTTTGTGAAACCTGCTTTTTAAATTTCACTTGAGCGATCGTGCACCGTAGCTTTCCGAGACGTCGCATTTCCTGTATTAACGAAGATGAAATAAGCTAAATAAGTAATACCCAAACCTGTGATTTGAGTACAGAGAGTACTCGCAGTTTTAAAGGGATGTAGAGAGAGATTTTCCTTCATCCAATTAGCAGATCATTCAGACCCCTTCCAGGAATCTCCCTATCTGTTTCACCTGTGGCATGCTAACTGAATCAATGTCAGCATGCAGACATACTTACAAGGCTGACTCCCCGCCCCCCATCCCGTGTATTTTCCTCCCAAATCTTCTCCTTTTATTTCTGCCAACCTCCCTTTTTATTCATCCTTTCCTCCTTTGACTGTTAAAGTAGACCTTTACTAAAGGTTCTTATCTAGTTCAGTACTTTCTCTTCCTCTTCATTTTTATTATTATCAGACCCTTCTTTTCTACTCTTATGTTCACTGTGGTTTCCCACCTTCCCTCCTATCCTTTTCCATCACCTCTACTTTCTCTGTCTCTCCTTCCCTCATCTTCCCCTCCTCCCCCGGTCCAGCCTTCCTCCCATAGCAGCAACTGTGTGGTCCTGAATGCAGGAACTGATTCCTTAGGGTAGAATGCAGTGGTGTGTGTTTCTTTCCTTATTTATTTATTTTTGTTTCCATAGGGATGTTTGGCCTAATACACTGTTTGTTCTGAATTCGGGAAAGCATGCTGTGTCTGTCAGTGATTGGTTGCTGGCCATGTGAGAGTGTGTGTGTTTGCCCCCTTTTTTTTCATTTTTTAAAATCCGACTGGCTGACTTGTCTTCTTACACCTGTAGTTTTATTTTTGTGTCTGTTCATCAGCTGTTCATCCAAACCTAGATAATGACACGATCATCCTGCCACTCCTTCCCCTTTCTTTAACTGTGTGTTTTTGGTAGGGGAACCGGGGTGGGGCACAGTTATGGCTGTGAACTCTCTCTCCCTTCATGTCTAACTCACTGTGGGATAGATGAAGGCGATTCAGAGCTACAAACGCTAAAAACAACAACAGCATTGTCTGCAATTAAGGGTATTTTTTTCCCCACATTAGCCATGAAGTGAGAGAGCCACACAGAGCCTGAGCTACATCCTTGTGAATGCTGTACTGCACCAGATTAGCCAGTTTTGCTGACTGACTGCTTGTTAATCTCTCGCTCTCTTCTCAGCAGTTTTTTTTCTCACAATGTAACACGTTAGATTCACTGCTAGTGTTTTTTAATAGTCTGCAGAGAAAATATGGCAAACTTTAAACAAGACCTTTCTCTTCTTTCCGTCCCGTCCTTCCTGCCCTTTCATTGCATCTCTTTTTCTCTCTCTCTCCTCTTTTCCTCTGCTCCGCTCTTCCCCTCTTCTCTGTCCTCCACCTGTCTCGTCTCCATCGACTCCTCACAGGGTGGCTATGCAGCGTATCGATACGCCCAGCCGGCTGCAGTAGCAACGCCTGCGGCGGCAGCAGCTGCAGCGGCAGCTTACAGTGACAGGTGAGCGTAGTGTCCTGGACACTTTTTTATCACAATTGCTACTTTTGCGTAACTACATCGTGTCAATATCGATATATTAAAAACATTAAAATACTCTGGAAATACTGTGAACAGCAAGGCCTATCTCATGCACCAGCATCCTGAGGTTACATTAGCAACGTGAGCAAACTTTTACAGAAAAACCAGGCTTAGGTTGACAAAGCTACCTCCTGATTCAGAGCCTCAGTCACACGAGTAAAAATAAGACAGCAACCTTTTTACATCTAGGAGAAAATCTGCGGCTGAGTCTGTCTTATGGCAACGTTTCTGGGAGGTTTTGTTTCCTCGACGATCTCATTTTTGCAGAAAAAAGATAAGATAAGATAAGATGACCTTTATTAGTCCCACAGATCGGAAATTTGTTTTGTTACAGCAAAAGTGCAAAGTTATGCAGCAGATATTAGAAAACACTTGAATGCAATAAAATGCAATAGAATAAAATAGAATAATATATACAATAGAATAAAATAGAAATACAAATACTATATACAATAGGAAAATACAAAAACACAACAATATAAAATATAAAATACAAAAACACAACAAAATACAAAAAATAACTGAAGTCAGATCATTTTATTTTACTGGATAAAACAGATATTTGCAAAGTTTAAATTTGAGGAGCTATTGTACAGTTGAAAAAAAGTGATAAATTGCAATATTTATAATTGCAGTACTGAGCGTCTGCTGGTTCCCATGTCAGATGCATGTAGAGGTGATTGTTGTCATGCTTGTGTCGACTGGGACGCCCTTACAAAAGAGACTTTAAATCTGAGGAGTCATTTAATCCCGGTTAGGTAAAGGTTAAATACAAAAATGAACCTTTAGCTTACACGAAACGATGTGATCTGTTCTTAAACTTTTGCAGTGTCGTGTTTCCTGATCTAAAATACAGGGAAAAGTTTAACATTTTGTTGACGTCCCCCTCTGTAATTTGAACACTTTGGGTGGGCTGTATGTATGACACTGTTGTAGTTTCTAACAGCTAGCAGAAAAAATACTAATAAGATAAAATTAATTTTGTGTGCCTAACTTTCTTCACATTTTGAGGTATCTTGGGCCTTCTTAAAAAGACACAACACTTGTTTCTCTCCTGCACTATGTCAGAATCATTTTGCAGCTAATCTAAATCAGCTTGTGTAACCCTTCCCCCCCCCCTTCATAGTTATGGACGAGTTTACACGGCAGATCCCTACCACGCTGCACTTGCCCCAGCTGCCTACGGCGTTGGAGCCATGGTAAGTCCACGTAGGGCGTGAATACTGTTTTGTGGTCTGTTCGCAAGAAAATGTCAATATTTTTAGTATTAATCAGTATTGTTTGAATATGTTATGTTGTAGTCACTGATTAATATGTATAATAGTGTTTATGCAACTAAGAAAGAGCCTGAATTAAGGAAAAATGAGCAGTTTTATTTTACCAATGTGTATCTGGCACAAGGGTTCTGTGTACTTTTATTAGGCTATGCGTACACCAGCAACTCGTGTTTGACAAATCAATTCGTTTTGGTCTTTTTCTGTGATGTATTGACGAAAATGACGAATCACAGCTTGAAACAACTGCAATTCTGACTCTAGTGAACGATTTTATTCACTAAGTGTTCCTTTTATTGCTTTGTAGGCTACGCTGTACAGGGGAGGCTACAGTAGATTTGCTCCCTACTAAAGACACTACATTTCCCAGGAGCTCCTCTCTTCCATTGAATTACTTTGAAAGAGCTCCCCCTGTTGTCACGGAGGTGGACTGCACCCAGTTTTAAAACGTGGACTTGACCACAAAGAAGATATTTCAGATCCCACCCCAGAGCAGTCCCACGTTTTCTTATATACGCTACTACAGAAATAGAGGAATGCTGTATTAAAGACTGAAGGATGGCCTTAATGTTAAAAAAAAAAAGAAGAAGAAGAAGAGAAAAAAATAAGACTTAAGATGGCCTCCTTCCCTATTGCACGGCTGTATTATAGTCTCCCCTTCTTATTCCCTCTGCACTCAGCAGCACAAGATTTGGGACAGAGCCCAGATGTTCTTCCAAAGGCTGCATGTGGATAACTGACACTTAAAACAGCCGTCACCCGTGTGCGTGTTTGTGTGTGTGAGTGCATGAAAGAGCCGAGCGTTGTGTGGCCTGCACACGCTCTCCGCTGAAGGAAAAAGAAAGGGAAACACACAATGGAGGTGTCCACAAAACATCAGGGCAGTAGGAAGAAAGACGGTGCGCAGAAAGAGCACCGAGAAAACATTCTGAACCAGAATGACGAGTCAAATGATAAAACCACCCACGGATGGATTTTATAATTCCTCCTCGACGTGGGCGGATAGTAAGGAGAGGATTTCCAATCCCGCGGTGTTCTTTCTGGCAGAGGGAGACTGAATGTGGCAGCTTGGAGAGATGATGTGACGGTTTATAACGCTATAGAAATCACGTCCGAAAGCTGAAGGAGGGAGGGTTTATTAGAGCTGTTCCTTACCTCAAGTTTTCTTAGTATGTGGAAATGGTAAACCTTTAAACTTAAAATTGTTATATGCAAAGAAATTAGTTTAGAGAGAAAAAAAAGTTACCAAATTATTATTATTAATGATATTTGTAATTGTAATTATTCTCATTATTACTCTTATAAAACCATTCTTATGTTTGAGTCAGCAGCCGCTGCTGTCATGGATTCAACAGTGAACCCTGGGGTTAAAAATCATTAACAAAGTACAAATATGCTGTCAGGTATATGAAAACAGCTTATATCCGTGCACGGGACTTCACCCGACACTACAAACATGGCAACACTACACAGAAGAAGAAGGGGGGGGAAAAGGTTCCCGTTTAGTGGAGTTTACACCCAAACTAAACCCTGGGGTTCAAATAGTGGTTGGTCCTTTTAATGTAGGAATATATTATTTGGATCCCCGCCCCCTCATATTCCATCTTTTGTAGAGTGTCCAGCAATGGATGAGTCTTCCTGAAACATACTTCTGTTGGTATTGTGTTTAAGATGCTGCAGCAGCAACTGCTGAGCAAGAGAGAGAGATTCAGTTAGTGAGTTTGTAGTAAATATTTAAATGCAAAACACAATTGTGCATATTTCTATTCCATTGTATTCTATATTTCCAAAATGTGGCTTTTTTTTTTATTTTTGGGCTTTTGTTTTTGTTCCAAAGATTTGTAGAAAGCACATTTTTCTGCCGTATGTATAAATATATTATCTTTGTTATTGTTATTATCATAATCCTACAGCTGTTTTTATTATTTACTTTCATCTTCTGTGTTGTTCCTTGTCCTGTAAGGTGCAAGGACATTTTCAAGTGACTTTGTTTTTTCTCTTGGGAGTAAAGTTCTTCAGCTGGAAAGCATAGCTGGTTGGGGACAAACAAAGGTATGCGTGTCACACCACCAAACTTTTGTCCTTTTGGTTGACTATTCAGTCATTTTTTGTTTGTTTGTTTGTTTGTTTGTTTTTGATTGATCATAGGATCTGCTAGCTTGACATTTATCATATTTCAAAATATACAGTAACACTTTTTTTTGTGTACGTGTGTCCATGTTTTGCAAGCGACTGAGCTATTTGGAATGAGTGAACATAGGCCTGTAGCACTTGAGTTAAAGCAGTCTTTATTGTTTTGGTTTGAAATCTTAATGATTCCTTACATTTCACTGGCTAAATCTGTCAGCTTGGCTACTCTGGATTTGTTTGAAAAAAGTGTTATCGCTCATACATGCACAGGTTAAGGTTCCTGGCGAAAAACAATTTGTCAGCATTGGGATATGAAGTTGTTTTTATCCATCTTCAAAGCGACCTTTTGTGTTTTCTGCTTCTCACAATCAGGAAAACAGGCTTTTCATTAACATGCTTTTTTTTCTCCCTTTCTTTTAAATGTGCTGCTGTTGGATTTTCTCAAGTCATTTAGTGTTACTTTAAAAAAAAATCTCCATATTAATGTAGAATGTGCTTCAGACACTTTTAATTTTTCTTTTTTTTAAAAAAAGAAGAAAAAAAAGGCACTAGCCAAAGATGCTAACAGTACCCAGCATGTTCTGGCTTGACATGTGCTACACAAAATACTCTAAGATGGACTTTTGGAGCCACTGAAGGCATGGACAAACCAGCATGAGCGATACTTGTCGAGTTATATATAAAAAAATAGTTTTGCATGACTCTTGTGTCTTTTCATATTTGATTCCTGAGCAGCAGAGCCCAGCTGCGTTCTTCTTTACCACTAAACTCCATGACAGGCAGCTAGCGAATCTAAGCTAGTTAACGCATCAAAGAGCACAGTGCTGTTTGGCAAAAAGGCCCGGTGACAAACAAAATGGCTGCCGCACAAATGACACGTGGCAGCTTCATTTTTTTTCCTGTCGTGGTTTTCTTGCCAGTGTATTATAGTAAACTATGTGGTCATCCTTCATAGTTGCTATGGTTTCTCAATGGACAGTCCCCTTTCCTCTGTCATGTCTGTATTCCCCCTTGACTGCCATTATGTTTTTTTGTTATTGAATGTCCATATAAAATGTTTTATATAAAAATGTTTTGTTGTGATTGAACTTCTCAGATTGCTTTTTTCTTTCTATGCATTATTAAAGTGGTTGAGTCTTATATTATAGTGCAGGGCCCTGTTTCAGGAAGCCGGTTTAGTGGAAAAACTGAGTAAGTATACCCTGAGTTAACGAAAACTCTGGGTTTGCGGTTTCACAAAGCGAGTTCAGCTGAAGCCTGAGTGAGTCACTATGACGACACACGCCGTGAAGCTAACCTGCCCCCTAGCAGGTTTACCACAACTAACCCTGACTGTCTCCGCCCCTTTGTCGGAAACCTGACTGTAGGAACATGGCGTGCTCCTTCCTTGAAGAGCCAGTAGATCGTGAAGCCCAAATTCTCCGCAGAGCTCACCGCCGGGAGAGAGTGATCAGAGCGCGTTTGGACATTTTATCATTTCCTGATGATTTCCTGTGTGAACGTTACCGTTTCTCAGCACAATCTATAATTTATTTGACTAACATCCTCAGGCCATATATTACGCATGTGACACATCGCGGACATGCTCTCAGTTCATTACATATTATTTGTATTGCACTTCGGTTTTTTGCAAACGGGAGCTTTCTGTATAATATTGGTGACGCTGAGCACGTTTCCAAGGCTACCGTCTGTCGGGCAGTCAGGAATGTTACAGTTGCACTGAAACGTCTCCTGTACTCGTCTGTGGTGTTCCCCGGTCATAGACCCACAAGATTTATCAAAGAGGGATGCCACAAAATTGCAGGTATCAGGATGAACAAAACTTAATTTATGATGTGGTGATACTTGAACTACTACTTATATTTTACATTTATTTTCAGGGTTCCCAGGCGTGATTGGCTGTACAGATGGCACTCACATTCCAATCATTGCTCCTTCAGTAAATGAAGGAGACTATGTGAACAGGAAGTCTTTCCACAGCATTAATGTACAGGTACATAGTTCCCTGTAGCATTTCAAACTAACAAATTATTTCATCATAGTAATGGATGCTAATTTGTGTTCTCTGCACTGTGAAGATCATATATGATGCTGCCAACATTATCACAAATGTGGAAGCCAAGTGGCCAGGCTCTGTCCATGACTCACAAATATTCCGTGAATGTACACTGAGCACAAAATTTGGACATGGTGAGTTGAAAATACTTTAAAATATATAAAGACCAATTGCTTCAGGGACATTTGAACTGAAGTGTATCCTTCTGTCTCAGGAGAGTTCACTGGCTACTTGCTTGGTGATAGGGGGTATCCATGTTTACCCTATTTGCTTACTCCTTACTCTGACCCTGAACCGGGCCCACAGCAGCGATATAATCTAGTTGAGGGCCAAGGAGCAAAGCCGGGTAACCATCTATTTTGTTTTTATGTTTTTTTGCACATCTTCTTACTTTTTTCTTTCTGCTATTAAACTCTATGTAGACTAAAGATATAAAATTCGGGTCACTGTCTGACCTTCAAGCACTCTCAAGCCCTTGAGTGAAGCTGAAGGTGGCTTTAAAAACAAGTGTATTCTTCCGTTCTTTGGATAAAGCTGATCAAGCTTATTTATTTGTTGTTGTTGATTTAATTTTTTAAATCACAATCAGAACAACCTGTGATTGTGCCCAAGTGTTTGGTTGGCAGTATTTGTGAAATACTTTGTTCATAACCTCAAATAGCAACCTGACAGTCATTGATATTACCTGGGAATCATAACAAAGGTCCATAAACAATGTTGTGCCATATCATTGATTCAGTGGATTACTGGATAAGTGAAAGCTTTAATCTTGTGTTGAACACAGGAAGAAAAAAAAACAAAAAACGAGGATCACAAATATCCATGGAAAGCAGTCTGTGTGATCGATATCTATACATAAAATAATACATTTCTGTCTGTTTGTCTGTTTCTTTGTCCGCATACTACTCCTACATGATCAGGAGTCGAGCACCCAAACCCGACTTGCAGGCCCATCTTAGGCTTCATAAGGTTCTTATCTATATCAGATTTCATGACATAGCCACGTTGCCCAGCAACCACCTATCAAATAGCTATAAATGACCTATGGGAGCTATATAATTTTATATAATTTACGTTAACAAAACTAAATTTTTTCATCATATGTCATGAAACCATGAGGTTCCCTTGCACGAGTTTGTGATAATACATGTAACTAATGTTGAGATGTTTAAATCTCTGACGTTGTCTGGCTCGCATAAATGTTTGTTTTCTTTGATTACCTTAAAAGTATAGTATCTGTTCAAAAAGACACAAAGGTTTTTATAGGGGAAAGTATTTATTGACATAACTTCCATTCCTACATTAATAGCATGTGCAACATTACATTCATATTTCATAAAAATAAAAATATATTTATTTATATATTCATCATCATCTGTACATTAAGAAAAAATAACTCCAAAGAGGTGGAGGACGGGCGGAGCGGAAAAGGCAGAAGAGAGAAGGTTTAGTGATGATGCCGCTGTGAGGAAACTTGCTTTCAACATATCTGAATGGTCTCTCAGAACAAACAAACCAGCACAAAGTACAAGGGAGGGAGTTTGGAGGAGCAGGTTGACACACGGACACCTCAGTGAAGCATATATAAATAAATAAATGTACATAGAGCTATTTAATGTAATATATGATAGCTTTGACACATAGTTGGATCAACCTTGAGGATAGAAGGTTTTGTGTAATTTTTCCCAAACTACATATGGGTGTAACAACCACAATAAACTTCAAGTCGGGATTTGGGGAGGGGGAAAGCCTCCTGGGCTGTGAAGTGAAAGATAAGAGGACTGAGTGGAGGAAAATTAGTGCAGGGAGGTTTATAATTGAGGAAAGGGCACGGGAGGGTTTCTAGACGATTCCATATTTCGCCAGGTCGCTGAGCTCCATGTCCCCAAAGGCTTCCCATGGGCAGACCACTGTGAAGTCTGTACCGAGACCCTCCATGCCGGGGATGTCGTCTCCGAATCTAAAAAAAGCAACAAAAGCATGTCTTAACTCTTGACCTGCATTCACTGTGTATCATTTAATGAGTACTCAATATCAGGTGTGTCAAACACAAGGCCTGGGTAAGACTCCAGTCCAGCCCACTGGATGCCATCGAAAAATATGAAGGAGGGGTTAGATTTGGACTTTTAACTGTATTTTCATAGGTTTTACACCTTTTCCCACTGATACACACCTCTCCCATAATATACCAAAATAATGAAGTAATATAGAAACTATTAGTATATTTTATTATCTACAATAGAGATTTCTGAGTTTTAGAATGGGTAGTTAAACTTCCTTAGACACTTAAGATCAAAGTGGGGTGTACATGGCCCACGATGTAAATTGAGCTTGGCGTCCATGCTCTGTACTATGCAAAGACTATACTCGAGCAAGGATTTCATGTGTCAAAGAAAGCAGAAGAGTTCTGTGATTGAAATACTATCCCCTGTGATTGTTTAAGTATTGTGTTGCAAATGTTAGTCCAACAGTCGATGTAACTGTTTTGAAACTAGTTTAGCAAAAATAATCCAATCGATCACAAGTTTGATCCGAATACCCGTGAAATTAAATATTCAGGAGTCACTGCTTTAGTCATCAACACTGTTCTATTATAGGATGTGGCAATATGATTTTTAAATGTCATCCCTCAAGCTAAAATGGACTACTATCTCCTAACTGTCATGCGCTAGCTTTAATATTTAGTGCGGTTGGAGCGTGAAGTATTAGAAATGTTGTGCCGTGTCTTCCTCTCACCCCTTCTGGCCTGGTTTGGGGGCCTTGCTCTTGAAGGTACGGGCTGTCCTCTGTTTGAACTTGGGAGGTGCCTTCTTGTCAGCAGGTGCAGGTGCGTCTGCCATTGTTTATGATCTGAGAGAAAAAGAATAAACAGTTAATCACTTAATCTTGGTGTTTAAGACCATTCGTCGACCTCCTCCTAAGCCGCCACTTCTTTGATGATATAACACTTGCAGCTTAGATCAAATTATAAACCAAAGCTACCATAGCACCTTAAGCTTTGTTACACCATCAGTGGCTATTTTTACACCTTGACTTTTGAGTTCATGTGTGGTCAAGTTAACACGGCATATATTTAGAGACCAGGATTTCTGCTAATTCTGCTGTTAGACTGAAGGTTAACCTGCGTGGTGTAAATAATAAGCTCGGGTATAAGGGGATTTGACCTGAACAACAATTTCAGTCTACTTTAATCTGGTCTTTTCTTGGCTCAGTTGACTGTGTCATAGTTAAGCTCATCAGTGCTCCTGATTACAAATGTGCTTTGACCTCACTGATGGACTTTTGTAACAACAAGCAGATTAACTCCTAAGTATCCCACCTTTATTCAACTTTTATAATGTAGTTACAACCAACATTTGCTGTTTTATATATATATATATATATATATCTATGTATACATATATATATATATAATATATATTATAAGAGAAATCTAGTTGTGTTTTTTGCTACACATTTTGTACACAATTGCAATGTTATATATATATATATATATATACAGTGCACATATATATATATGTGCACTATACACACACACACATATATACATATATAACATTGCAATTGTGTACAAAAACACAACTAGATAAATCAATTAATCATTTTAAAGAAACTAATTAATGAATATTTTTTATTTGGTTTTCCATAAAATTTTAGTACAAATTAAATAAGGCTATAGTGACAGGTGTTATAACATGCTGAAATAATAAGACAAATAAAAGAGTTAAAATGATGCCAGTGTAAATGAATTTTTCCTTTTGAAGGTTTACTTGAAGGTTTTTGTTTTTTGTATCAAGGGGAGTGATATATTTCATAGGTTTCTGTTAATTTCGACATTATTTGCAAACCCCCCCACAAATAAGCCTCCCTTGGCTGTCTTACACAATTAAAAAAACTATATAATAATGACTTTTTTTATAATGACTTTTTAAATGCTTTTCTAAACAGCATTTACAAAATTGAAAGCATAAAGAAGAAAAAAAATGATGTAAAGAAGACATACGGTGCACAAACTTTAAACTATAAAGCTTGAAATGATTTTTTGGTTTTATTTTTTTAGAAATGTGTAAAATATATCTCCAAAATAAAGTTCTTAAGTGACTCTTACTCTTTATTTCTTCTCTGAATAATCTTCACTGCAGAATGGAAAGTCAACCAAAGCTCACAGCTGAGTGAAAGTCAGAGTTAGATCTTACCTGTTGTTGCAGTAGCACGGGTGGCTTCTGGATTATGCCTCTCTGGTCTGTTCGTGTTGTTGTAGTCTATGGCTTGCTCCCTGCTTATATACTCTCCCCTCTAATCCCTCTAACATGCTTATCCATAGCTTTTCTGTCCTATTTTTTTACAGCACGGGCTCGATTTTTCCCTTGATTAGCTTAGGGAGTGACCTCATATGTTCACCCTAATGCATCTTGCCATATAAAGACATATGTTCCTTATATAATGAAGCACAACGGAGAAGAGAAACTAAGAGGTTCATTCAATGATATTAACCTGTTTGGGGCTTGATTCTGACTGTCAATAGAGGAATATTTTCTGGTAGATGCATTTTACCAAATACCTTTTTGTTAATCTACATAACAGTTGAGCTTGAAATCATAATCAGCTGATCGTGATCATTCTTAATTTGAAAAAACAAACAAACAAACAAACAATAAATTTGACCAAAAAAATAAAATAAATAAAAGTCCTTTCCAGATCTTTTAGGCACTTCTTCCAGTATTAATCAGATAATTAAATTTAGGAAAGCCCCAGAAAAGCTGTACAGTAGCCTTAAAGCTCAGATTTTCTTTCTTTCTTTCTTTTTATTGCCTTACATTAACTGTAAAGACAGCATTAGTGTGTTTCTACCTGCAGACCACACCTGTCACATTGGTAATCATTCATTTAAAGGTCTACATACTGTACCTAGGCACAGTTCATGCCATGTGTTGAAGGATTAAAAGCTGAATAGTTAAGTGTTCTTTATTTGTCAGCATCTGATTCATCACCTGAAAAGAGTTCAGGGCACCTCTGCTCTTACATCACGTGGTGCTCCAGATCCTCTTGAAGCTATATCAGGACACGTTTGTTTACAAATATTATCTCCAATCCATGAAGAGGTGTAAAATATTAAATTTGGGTAAACAATGGTAGAAGAAATGATGGTTACCCCTTCAGTACAGTGAAGTCAGTGAAGGGATGCAAAATTTTACCCTCATAAATATAACCTCATGAAACACACAGGAGGGCGATGAGATTGTGCACAAAATAATTTACCTGTACTTGAAGTACAGGTGATAACAGGACCGAAAGAATGAAACACAATCAAAATTTATAAATAATTTCCTTAACTGTCACAATCTAATTTCCATATTGTCTTTTTTGTTCAGCATCGCAGCCTTTTGACGATCACAGAGCCACATTGAGATGTTTTGAACTTTGTGACATGAGGCGTCATCCTGCATGTGAAGCAGCCATCGCAAGATGTGTTCAGTGGTGAGGTGTTCTGCTGCTGTAGCCCATCTGCCTCAAGGTTTGACCTGCTGTCTGTTCAGAGATGCTCTTCTGCGCACCCTGGTTGTAACAAGTGCTTATTTAAGTCACACTTGCTTTCATGTCAACTTGAAGCAGTCTGGCAATTTTTCCTCCAACCTCTGGCATCAGCAAGGAATGTTTTGGTTTACCCGAAGAACTGCCCACTGAATATTTCCTCTTTTTCAGGCCATTCACGGAAAACCCTAGAGACGGCTGTGTGGGAAAGTCCCACCAGTTTGTGATACTAATACTCAGACCAGCTCATCTGGCACCAAAAGCCAAGCCAAAATCCAGAGTTACTTAAATCACTTTTCTTCCTCATTCTTATGCTCGATTTGAACTTCATCAGATCATTCTGATCGCGTCGACGTGAATAAAATCACAGAGTTGCTGCCACATGATTTACTAATTAGATATCCGTGTTAGCAAGCAGTTAAATAGGTGTGCCTAATGAAGTGGCAGTGAATATTCAGTAAATGATAGCATGATTCAGGTAGAAACTGATGCGTGTGGTGATCGATGGATGATTGATTGATAATGTAGCTATGGCAGTTAGATAGACAGGTATCTTTCTCCATATTTAGATTTGTGTGTTAATCACTGTCGCCCGCTGCTGCCCGTGAATGGCTCCTCTGTAGTTTGCTTCAGTTTGCACATTTACAGGCATGTCTATCTTGAAATACACCTTGTATTTATATCTCACTATCCTTTATCTCCTCTATTTGTGGCTGAGCTGGTTCAGAATAGGGCAGAGCTGGCACATCACAGAGCGAACATCTGAGTGGATTAGCAGCTCGGAGGACTTTAAAAACGGGTCGTCAGTCTGAGAGAGACACCACAAGTGAGAAAACGACAGACTCGCCAGACAGCATCAGAAAAACTCTTTGAGACTTTGAACAAAAGGTGAGATGAAACTGCAATTTTGTCAGCTCTTGTGCGAGGAGTTTAGGCTATTATTGCTTTGTATTACCTCAGATTCTTTTCTGCTTTTGTAACTACATCCTCACAGCAGAGAAAAACAGAGCACTGGCTTTACAGCTTTTCTTTTCCTTCCTGAGTATCACGCCTGAAATGGAGTTGAAATGAGACATTTCATAAGAAGCAATGCTTTGTGATGGCCTTTTTGTAAATACTGCTCAAGGCACTGTTGGATTGGATTTGGGTGAACTCGCTGGTTGAGGATTTTATTTCCAATGGTTAATGCACTCATAATTTAGTGATTTGCTTGGTTGTTTGCAAGCCTGAGTGTGAAATATAAGTGTTTCCAGAAGGGATGTGCAATGACTCCTCTGTAAAGAGGAGATTATTGATTGATGTAGCCGAACAAAGAAAAGAGGCAAATTCAGTTTTATTTCTATAACAACCTTTAGCACCAAGGCACTGGAACTGGTTTATGTAAGACAATAAAAGGCATGAAGAAACAGCATAAAAAAAGAAACCCCCAGAAAGTGATTCACAAAGATAGAAGAATAAGCAAAACACATGCTGAGAAAAAGAAATTACAAGTTCTCCTCCAATAAATCTGAATTGTTAGTGGTATCTTTGCAGGAAATCAACATATTAATGTTATTTTTTAACCTGTTTTCTCTTTCAGGAACCAAACACAATGGCAGACGTTGCAACTCCCGTTGACAAGAAAGCACCTCCCAAATTTAAGCAGAGGGCCGCACGCACCTTCAAGAGCAAGGCGCCCAAACCGGGCCAGAAGGGGTGAGATGCTTTCTTTGTTTTGTTTTTAACATCACATGTGCAGCTTTTCTTCCATAACTTTGTCTTTCTTTCTGCTGGTTTTGCTCATCAAAGCTTGTTGTTTCTTCCAATTAGATTTGGAGACGACATCCCCGGCATGGAGGGTCTTGGCACAGACTTCACCGTGGTCTGCCCATGGGAAGCCTTTGGGGACATGGAGCTCAGCGACCTGGCGAAATATGGAATCGTCTAGAAACCTCAACTGTTTTCTTGGACCGAGTCCTCCTGTCTCTCACCTCACAGCCCAGCTTTCCTTCTCCTTCCCAAAATACCCATCCTCATATTCATTGTCCCTCATGTAATTTGAGATAAATTGCACACAAATTGATCAGCTAGCAAAAGCATTGCAGCATTTAGCTGTTTTTCTTCTTTTTTTTCCTCCCTGTTTACCCCTCATGTGGTCCTACTGTCAATTAAGCAGCTAGAACTCTACAACCTGCACAGAGGAGGCAGCTTTTGATGTTTTAGAGGTTTGACCTGAAAACAAACCCCCTCACACTCTCTTTTGTCTCATGCACTTTATTCACCCAACCCTCCCCCCACTTTTCCACCAATGCTCCATCGTCCTTTCCTACTTTTCCTAATCCCCAGCTTCTCTTCATCTCCCGAACCCCTCACTTTCATCTCTAATAACCCATGCAGAGAAAAAAATAATATAAAAATGAATAAAAGACAGTTTGATATCTGTGATATCTTTGGACTGTTCTTCTTAACTCATCTACCACCTCTGCTCGCCAAAGCTGCTGATTAACATTGCACAGTCTATTTTGTGTATTAGCAAATTTCCCTTGTGTTTGTGTGTTTGTGCTTTTTTTTTCATTATTATAATGAGAAAGTCTATAATTCACAACCCGCCTGAGTGAATTAGATAAATCCTATATTTTCTCAGTAAATGGAAATATTTTTAATGAACTCAATAAATGAGAATATTTTCCACTAACTACGTGTCTTTGTGTCTTAGCTCATATTAACACAGAAGGTTTAATTTAGGATTTTGCACATAGCAGTACAATAACCACAGACTCTGGTCTGATTCATTTGCAGGGTATAAAACGGTAAAATCCACAGTTATTAACTCAAATTGTTTTAAAAATAAAAAAATAATAATAAAATAAAACAAAACCGGCTTCAGGGATAAATTGTGAGCAAAAAATTGAAGACGAGGAGCGTAACTGAATATACTGTTTCCATGGCAACCAGACCTACTTATTCACAGAAGCAGTCTTTTGTTTTTTTCTTCACCAGTGCAGAGAAAGGTTTGATAAATGAACACTGCAGCAAAGGTCGTGTTAGGTTAGCCGATCAGCATCAAGTTGGCCGTGCTTACTAACGGCAGATAAAAACTAAAACACATGTGTGCAAACAAATTAGTTTGCTTTTTAAAATTTTTTACAGATTAATATTAATTTTATTTATAAATATTAACACACAAATCTGAACTGGATAAGCAGAAGAGAAAGGATGGATGGGTGGAATTAACACTTATGCGTTATTGGGTCTTTCATCCAGAATGGGATGGTATCCTGTTATTGGTCAAACAAGAGGAAATAGAGTGTGGTGCAACAGTTTAGGTTAACAAATACCACAAATAGCTTTTAGAATAGAGAATTGAATAATCCTTTAATTGTCCCACAAGGGGATATTTGGTTGTATCAGCAGCAAAAAAAACCCACACACATACAAAAAAGAACAGGACACAGAACAGAAAACACAATTTTTACATATTTACATCATGGACAATAGTTACCAGAGCAGAGTACAGTACAGTTGTTAAAATTAGCGTACAGATAGTGTGCAAACAGAGCAGGATACTGAAAGGTGTTTAAATAGTTAAGAATATTTAGAATAATTAGAAAAGTGCAGACTGTGTATTGTACCTGTGCATTAAAAAGTAGACATGTAACTTCCAATAAGTTAGTGTATATATAAGCTGAGAAAAGTAATGTGCAGTTATAACAGTAGAAGTTGTTACAGCACTGATGTAAACATCTGTGTTTGTTGGGAGCAGTTTTGATTGTACAGTCTGACAGCTGCAGTCTGACACCTGCTATTTCTCAGGTAACTTCATACACATTGTGGCACAAATTAACAAAGATATGTAAATGAAATCTATTATTTATATGAGAATGCTTCACCTGTAAAACAAGAGCACACTGAGCACTGCACAGGTAGGTTGCATCAGGTATTTAAGAGAGCCTGCCTCAGTTCCTCTTTCTTTCTTTCTTTCTTTCTTTCTTTGTTTCTTTCTTTCTTTCTTTCTTTCTTTCTTTCTTTCTTTCTTTCTTTCTAAGTTTCACCGTACATCCATTACCATGACATACTGCATGACAAATTGGTTAGTGAAACTTTTATTAATAACACACGAACAACAACAGTAAAATGGTTAATTTGTTGTTGTTTTTTAAATACAGTTATGATTACACACACTCTCTCCCCACCTCCTTTACTTGTAATTTTAACTTTAACCTTTTTTCTCTATTCTGATGCTCGGTTTGAACTTTAGCAGCAACTTGACCATATCTATATGCCTGAATGCAAGGAAATCCTGCCATGTGATTGGCTGATTAGATATTTGTGTTAATGGGCAGTTAAACGGGTATTCCTAAGTGACTGGTATATTTCACACATTAGAAATTCTGTTAATAGGATGTTGTGTCAGGGTTTTGTCTGTGCTCATGGAAGACAGAAATAGTTTTTAAAATGACTTAAGCGTGTCTACTTGTTACTTAATTACACTGTATTCTGAGCAGCATTTAAGCTTCTCAGTGCGACTTTGCAGTGCAACATTTTGCTGCTTGCGTGTGTCTGGTGCTTTTTGTTGGTGCCAGTGACAGTATGTGTGAGGCCTCCGGATACTAATGTGCTTTTGTGTCACTGCATCAATTAACTGTTCGAGCCTCTGAACTGTGAGCAGACAAAAGGGACACTGCCTCGTGTAATGAGGCATAAACATAACAAACATCAGTCCAAAGCCTTTGGCCAGTTCATTAAAAAGAGGGCCTGCAGCAGAGACACGGCTATTTGACCACCAGAGCTTTAGTCTGCAACAAAACTGATCTCATCAGAAGCGGAGTATGGGTTAGTCACTGTGAATATGAATGAATGAAAGTAGTAAAAATAAAATGGACAAAACCTCAGCAGGTAAAAAAACTACTAACTTTACCTGCAGCAATAAATGATACATTTCTAAAATTCGAATAATTTTCAAAGCCTTGATGCGTTTAAAAAAAATCCATGAATTTACATGAACATTAGGGGAAAGTCTGCAAACTGTGTGAGCTAGAACTTCTTTAAAGTGCCACTGGGCAAAATATTCAAGGTCTTTTTGACAGTCAAGTATTTTTTAACATTCAAGCATTCAAAGAGAATTAGAAAAAGAAAGCACTAACAAACAAAACTGTGTTACTCGTAAAAGGCAAATGTGAGCTGTTTAAAGACAGCCATGTAAGATAATTAAGTCTTAATGGTGTTAATTGTCTTAAGCTTTGTCAGTGTGGCTTCCAGTTCGCCTTAAACTGCTTTCTCAAGTGCAGCTGAGTGCACCTTAAGTTGCTTTTTATAGCTGCCAGTTGCAGCTCAGAGGGGGCTCGACGCAGGCGCAGCTGCATCATCAGCATCAGCATCGGGCGACTGTTTCAGGTGTTGTTAATGAAATAAAAGCAAGTTTCTGAATTACGTCTTACAACATTTTTTGGTTTTGCATTTGTTAAGCTCAGCTAAGCTCAGAGTGTATTTATAGTTACGTGGAGCAAAAATATCCTCTACTGTCTTTTTTACAGGATTACACTCACAGACAGTCTGTGCAGTGTACAGAGTACACCTTGTTTTGTGTTCTCATTAAGAATATATTATTGCTGAATCTACAGATGTAAACTGCTAACTGCTAGTGTGCAGTGAACCTGACAATGCAACAAAATTTAGCCTCTAAATGCCCTGAAGCATGGACAAAGACCAGCATATGCAATATGATGCATTTGGCACTAATGGGCAAACCTGAAAGTGTCTGCTGCATCAATTTATTTGATATATGCAACAAAAATATGAACGATTCTCACTGCTGCAAGATCATACCTGAGCCACAACCCTGTCAGTCAAACTGCTGCCTACTTCTTCCACAATCTGTATTTGCCTTCACTATTTTCTCTGTAATTTAAAATGACAAGTGTGGCAATAAGAACCTCCTACTTTCTGTAAATTTGAATCACATTCAAACTGAAAGGAGGAGCATTGTATCCAGAAATGTCCCCAAATTTCTAGTTTTTGAGTGCTACAGGCAACTGTTGGAAGCAATAGTTTGCGAGTGTATTAAGAAGCAAATCTGTCACAAACTGCAACCTGTACATCCAAGAATCACCCCCACTCCCCCAACTCTATATGTATACTGTTAAGTTATTGAAATGACACAGTCTCAAATCCAGCCTCAAGGGGTCACAAGCTGGTGTGCTCCCAGTGCCGGGAGTACAGGAAGGGCATCCAGCATAAAAATCTGTGCCAAATCACATGTGCATATCCATCCACTGTGGTGACCCCTTAGACATGCTGTTTGCATGTTCTCCTGTTTCCATGTTGTTTCTCTCCAGTTGCCTCCCGGATGTGCCAAGTCTCTTGCGCTATGATAGCTGAGATGGGCTTCAGCTCCCCCACGAACCTGAGTTGGGTAAGCAGAAGAAAATGGATGGGTGGGTGGATGAACCACATGAAAAGCAGGGACTATTGTGGAGGCAGTTATCTTAAACACTTTGTTTCTTCCCAAATTTGATCTGCAGGGCTGGAATGCAGAAGGTAAGAACAAGTGCAGTGCAAAACCTGGAACCTCTCAGGTGATTCATGCTATGTACTAATCAGCAGTTCCCCGTTTGTCACTTTGTTCTTTAGTCTGGCATGAAGGCGTGACTCTTCACTCTGTGACCAGACGAGCTGGCAGCTTTCGTGGCTGTAACGAGATTGGAGCTCGTCCATGTGGGTCAGAGGTTTGTGGCCAAAGCTTTTTACAAGCAACACATTCATGTAAAAACTGGGACTTTTTCACTTAAATTAAGGTTTTTATGTATTAATATTCTGGACACATGCCAACACACATTTTTCTCAACCCTCAATTTGATTAAAGTTCCAAATTTGAAGAGCACATTTGAAAGGATTTGCACCTAATACAACACATACGATTAATATCAGTAAGAACAGAACAGGACAGGAAGCAGAGAAAGAGCAAAAGGAGTTTGGGATCAAATTGGCAGCCTGCATGTAAATGTCAAGATGTTGCTCTTCCTTGGTAGCCATGTTCTATATTGATCTATATTTGATGGGAGGAATTTTAAATTAGTAATAAGATTATGAGTCAGGCAAACAGGTTCAGGTTCACTTTCAGGTTCTGATTTACTCTACAGGAATGATGGAAAGGCAACAGTCTGGCAGAGAGCAGGTGGAAGTGAGCAGTACAAGTACTGAGGGAGTGAGTGGAGATCAAGGATCAGCTGAGCAGATCAGGCAGTCTGTAAGTTGTTCACAACCCACCCAAGAAATCTACACAACAAAGACTCTGTCAGCGCTCACACAGCAACCATGACCAGACCAAACATGACACTAAGAAAGAAATCAGCAGCAGTTGGAATAATAATTCAAATAATTTAGCTCTGCATCATTTTAAATAATAACAATGTTGCCAGTATACTACTGTTTCATACATACAGTTA